TTTAGAGGCCATCCTAACCTCTTATGGGAACGTGTAATAAGCCAAAATTGGAGACACTTAACTTGCTCAGAAATACCTTACATAGATCTGTAAGAAAACCTACTTCATCTGAATTGATCCTTACACATTTCTCGTCTTCCTGTTTTGTGTGCAGATAACTCTCCCCGTAGCTCCTTGGTGAAATGTGTTCTCATTTCAGGGATGGTTGACCTTCAGGGATGTGGCCATAGAGTTCTCTCAGGAGGAGTGGGAGTGCCTGGACCCCGCTCAGAGGGCCTTGTACAGGGACGTGATGCTGGAGAACTACAGGAACCTGGTCTCCTTGGGTGAGGAAAATTTCCCTCCAGAAGTGGAGATCTGCCCTTGTGTGTCTGCATTCTCCCCCTTGGAGCCCCTGTCTTACTTGCTGAGATTGAAGCCCTGTTGCCTCAGATACGAAAAGCCTCATGACGTGGCATCTGGACTTCACACTTACGCTTTTGTCAGATGATTTGCACACTTAATCAGGCATGCTGCCGGAACTTAAGTATGCGTAAAACCTTATGAAAAGCTTAAAATACCCAATTCCTTTTTTTTCTCCCCCTGTGCTGTTGATTCACTGGTTCTTACAAGAGACTGAGATCCTCGTGTAAACTGTTCTGTAAGTATTCAGAGGAGGCAGTCAGAGGATGAATTTTTTGTTTTTTAGCTCTGCTGAGGTGTAACTGGCAAAGAAAATTGTAATATTTTGAAAGGGTACCCTGTAGTGATTTGACATCCATATACATTGTGAAAGGATTTCCATAATCAAGTTAATTAACACACGTTACGTCACATACTTACTTTTTAAAAAATTTTTTGGTGAGGACACTTAAGTTCTATTCTCTTAGCAAATTTCAATTATACGATATTACCGACTGTAGTCACCATGTGGTACGTTAGCTCCGCGGACCTTGTTCACCACGTGGCTGAAATTTTGTCCCCTTTTACCAACCTTACCCCATGTCCCCTATGCCTCCCCCCTCAGCAGCCACCCATCCTACTCTGTTTTCTAAGCGTGGCTTCTTGCCTGGTCTCCACACTCCCTCCCTATTACCCGTCTTACATTTTGGCCACACACCCACACTATAATTCCTACAGTTAATTCCTGTAATTCCATCGTGGGACAGCATGATGGTGTTTGCCACGTCAGTCCCTTCTTTTTTCCCAAGGTTGGAATTCTGACGGCCCTGGCACATTTACCCCTCCGTGGATTGGCAAATACCGTCGCTTCTCTCGTGTGCTCATTACCTCCTGCCCTCCGCTCCTGACCTTCCTTCTTTCTGGCCTTCCCTCACACGGTACCTCGATCTGGATAGACCACACCGTTCCTTACTAGCTTATGAATTGTGTAGAACTTGAACACCCTGATTCCCGCAGGCCCCCCTCACCAGCCACACTACTTACCACGTTAAGAAAGATCCCTGCTTATCCACTGTATCGCTGTTTCAGGACATTACAGAAATCCTTATTGCGGGGGTGACAGGGTACTCGGGGTGGCTAGGTAACACTGTTAGCACAACACAGCTCTGGTGTCTCCCTCAACGTGTTTATGTTGAAGCTCCTGATCTTGACTGTGATTTGCAGGCGTTTATGCATGAGCACACTTTGTCTGAACCCGCAGGCCCAGGTCAAATCCTGTTTCTCATACTTACTTTCTCTATGAATAAGGGTTAGAAACACAAACCCCATGTGCCTACTGTCCCTATTTAAAAAGTGGTGGTGATGTACTTCAAGGCTTTTAGCCACGTCAGCGCTATTAGAAGGCTTAACATATTCCGTGTTTTATTTTTTTTAATTTTATTTTTAATTTTTTAAAATTTACATCCAAATTAGTTAGCATATAGTGAAACAATGAATTTCAGGAGTACATTCCTTAATGCCCCTTACCCATTTATCCCATTCCCTCTCCCACAGCCCCTCCCATAACCCTCAGTTTGTTGTTCTCCATGTTCTAGTCTCTTCTTGTCCCCTCCTGTTTTTTATATTACGTTTCCCTTCCCTTGGGTTTAAAACTTCTGTTTTTTTGTCTCACCCAAAGTCTACAAGGTGAAGGCATATGATTTTTGTCTTTCTCTGACTAATTTCACTTCATAGCATAATACCCTCCAGTTCCATCCAATGGTTGCAAATGGCAAGATTTCATTCTTTTTTGGGATTGTTAATTCAATACTCCATTATTGTATGTGTGTGTATACATACACCACATCTTCTTTATCCATTCATCCATCGATGGACATTTGGGCTCTTTCCATGCTTTGGCTATTGTTGATGATGTTATACTATAAACATGGAGTTACACATATGTCCCTTCGAAAACAACATCTCTGTATCCTGTGGATATTCTAGTAGTTACCAATTATGATTAAGGTAAGGGTGAGGGTTCACCCAGGCACTACGGTGACCACCATACTGTTTTCCAGAGTGGCTGCACCAGCTTGCATTGCACCTGTAACAGTTAAAGATCCTCTTTCTCCGCGCATCCTAAAACCAACATGTTGTTGCCTGAACATTAATGTTAGCCATTCTGACAGGTGTAGGGTGGTATCTCATTGTGGTTTTGATTTGTAAAGCTATTCCGTGTTTTATAGTGAAGTCTCAGAAATTCCTTGACTTTTGTAAGATACGGCAGCCTTCTGTCATGATTTTGATCAGATGGTCTTTTGTCTGTGCCTTGGCTCAGCCTGCCATAGCAAGTACCAAAACCAGATGGCTTAACTAATAGAAATTTATTTCTCACAGTTTCGGAGTCTGGCAAGTCCCAGATCTTGGTGCTAGTCAGTTCAGTTCCTGATGAGCCTTCTTCTGGTTTAGAGCACTGCCTTCTTGCCGTGTCCTTGCATGACGGAAAGAGTAAGGCAGCAAGCTCTCATATCTCTTCTTGTAACGGCCCTAATCCCATTCGCGACCCTGCACTGTCATGACCTGGTTACCTGCCAAAGACACCACCTCCAACCCCATCATATTGGGGTGGACACAAACATTCAGGCCATGCAGCCTGCACTATATTTTGTATGTTTTTATTCTACAATTCTGTCCAAACATTGTTTGATCTGGCCTTCATTAATAAGATTTTCACGCACAAACTCATTATTACATATACTTTGTGGCCAGTGAACTAAAAAATTAAAGAATACTACATAGATAGGGAATTGATTAGCTGTTACATAAGTGCAGGCCAAAACTCATAATTGTGATTTATGGGGTGCCTGCCTGGTGCAGTCAGTAGAGCATGTGACTCTTGATCTCGAGGTTGTGAGTTTGAACTCCCTGTTGGGCATAGAGATAACTTAAAAAAAAAATCATAATTGTGATTTCTGACTTCTTTTCCCAATTATGTTAAGTATTTCCCTGACTGGATACTTCAAAAATGAGTGGTCTTAACATAAATTCCAGTTTTCATATTGTATGCTGGTTCTGGAATAGAAGCCCTTGCTTTTTTTTTTTTTTCTCTCAAGAGAGATTTGTTGAGAATTCCACAAACTATAATTTTGTATCATTGTGGTTGCTTATTATTTCAGTCCTGCTTTTACTCTAGGTTACTAGAATGTTTTATTAACTGTCGTTATGACTTACAGATGATGGTTTTTTGGTATGCACGGTGCAGCATCGCCGACTTATACTGCTTGTTAAAAATGGCCATTCTGAGGAAATATAGTTACATGACTGGTATTCAGAAAAATATTTTTATAACATTGATTAAATTCTCCCTCATTTCCCCAGTGCTACTATAGTTTTCCAATTCTAAATTGCCATTTATTTAGATAGCGCGCCTCGGTGGCTCAGTCGGTTAAGCATCCGACTTCGGCTCAGGTCATGATCTCAGTGTTCGTGGGTTTGAGCCCCATGTCAGGCTCTGTGCTGACAGCTCGGAGCCTGGAGCCTGCTTTGGATTCTGTGTCTCTTTCTCTCTCTGCCCCTCCCCGCTCGTGCTCTGTCTCTCTCATCTCTCAAAAATAAATAAATGTTAAAAAAAATTTAGATTACTCATTAGATAAGTTTGTTCTGGATTATTTACCATTAGAGTATATCATGCTGTGCTTTAGAATTAGTGCCCAATAAAGATGCAGTAAATATGGACAGTACTTTTATCTCTTCAAACGTGAAACAACCATATATTTTCTGTGAAAAATTGGCAGGTAATGGTGTGCCATTTCCGAACATGATGAGAAAATCCCCCTCTTTTCAGGGCTAACGTAAGTTTGCATACTGTGATTTTTTTTTTTTTTTTGCCATTGATTATTTAATTTTTTTTTTTAATGTTTGTTCATTTTTGAGAGATGGAGAGAGACAGAGCATGAGTGGGGGGAGGGGCAAAGAGAGAGGGAGACACAGAGTCCGAAGCAGGCTCCGGGCTCTGAGCTGTCATCGCAGAGCCCGATGCGGTGCTCAAACCCACGGACTGCAAGATCATGACCTGAGCTGAAGTCGGACACTTAACCGACTAGGCCACCCAGGTGCCCCAACATTGACTATTTAAAGTAGGCTTTAAAATCAATTTGAATTACATGTAATTACCCTTTTATATTAAAGAATCCTGTACCTTTTGTGTTCCTAAAAATTGAAAGTCATGGTTGCAACATTTCATAACTGATCAATATATGTAGTACTTTTGGTGTAATATGTTTTTCAATATGAGATTTTTCTGTAATTAATTGGAAACCTATGGTTCTTTATATCTCGTAGCTCTCTCTCCCAAATGTGTGATCAAGGAACTACCACCAAAAGAAAACAGTAATACAGGGGAAGTATTGCAGACAGTTATATTGGAAAGACATGAAAGCCGTGACGCCGAAGATTGTGGCTTCAGAGAAATCCAGAAAAGTTTTCATGACTCTGAGTGTCAGCGGAGAGACGGTGAAAGAAATTATGAAGGTGTGCTCGTGACCCTTAACAAAAACCTGACTGGTAGAAGAGACGCAGGAAATGAGCCGATTGAAAACAGGTCTGGACTAAGCTTTCAGTCACGTCTGGCTGGCGTGCAGATACTTCAGACTGAAGGGAAAATTTACGAATGTCACCAAGTGGCGAGGTCTGTCAACGATAGTGCCTCAGTTTCACTACTTCACACAATTCTTCCAAGAGTCCCGACCAACATCTCTAACGAACGTGGGAATGATCCCTTGCGTTCTTCATTACTCACACAGGACCAGAAAGCGCGCATCAGGGAAGAACCTTACACACGTGAGGAGTGTGACAAAGCAGTGAATCCCGGTCTACACCCCACTAGACGTCAGGTAATCCAGACAGGAGAGAAACCGTATAAATGTGACCTATGTGGGAAGGTCTTCAGTCGCAACTCGCACCTCGTACGTCATCACAGAATTCACACCGGAGAGAAACCTTACCACTGCAATGAGTGTGGCAGGGCCTTCAGTGAGTGTTCAGGTCTTACGAGCCATCAGGTGATCCATACGGGAGAGAAGCCTTACAAGTGTAATGAGTGTGGCAAGGTCTTCAGTCAGAGCTCAGGCCTGGTGAGTCACCGAAGAATTCACACGGGAGAGAAGCCTTACAAGTGCAACGAATGTGGCAAAGCCTTTACCTATGGCTCACAGCTCACTAACCACCAGGTAATCCATACCGGTGTGAAACCCTACAAATGTAACGAGTGTGGCAAAGCCTTTAATCAGAGCTCACATCTCACTAGACATCAAATAATCCACACGGGAGAGAAACATTACAAGTGTGACGAATGCGGGAAGGTCTTCAGTTACGATTCACACCTTGCGCGTCATCGCAGGACTCATTCTGGAGAGAAGCCTTACCAGTGCCATGAGTGTGGCAGAGCCTTTACTATGCTGTCGAGCCTTACTTACCATCAGGTGATCCATACTAGAGAGAAACCTTACAAATGTAATGAATGCGGCAAGGTCTTCAGTCAGAGTTCAAGCCTGCCTAGTCATCGGAGAATTCATACTGGAGAGAAACCTTACCAGTGTGATCAGTGTGGCAGATCGTTCATTCAACGCTCCAACCTCACTAGACACCAGATGATCCATACTGGAGAGAAACCTTATAAATGTAGTCATTGTGGCAAGGTCTTCACTCAGAATTCAAGCCTTGTAAGCCATCAGAGAGTTCATACCGGGGAGTAATCTGACGAACGTAGGGAGTGTGACAACGCATTTGATTTGAAGTTCAAGCACGAATCGGCATCAGAGAGCCCACACTAAAGAGAAATCACATAAATGGAACGTGTGCGGCAGAGGACTTACACAGGCTTCGCAACTCACTAGACATCGGGATCTACATCTCTGATAAAACCACATTAATGTAATGTGCATGCTAAGGCTTCTACCCATGGATCAAAACTACAGAACATCACAGGGCCCACACCGGAGAGCAGGCTTACAAATGTAATGAATCTGAGAGGGCTTTTTTTCAAACATCCTGCCTTTGATGTCTTTGATGACAGAGCGTGAGTGGGGGAGGAGCAGAGCGAAAGGGAGACACGGAATCTGAAGCAGGCTCCAGGCACTGAGCTGTCAGCACAGAGCCCGACGCGGGGCTCGAACTCACGGACCGCAAGACCGTGACCTGAGCCGAAGTCGGACACTCAACCGACTGAGCCACCCAGGCGCCCTCAGAGAGTTTCTATGAGGAATAAAATAATGAAATCTCAAGTTCTCTAAAGTGAGATACTGGAATAGTACACACCACAGGATAATTGGTTTTTTTCAAAATACCACAGAATAAAGTCAAAATGTGTTAAAACTCCAGATGGGAAGATAGATAACACAGAGATAGAGCAAAGGTATATGGATACTGAGGATAATGTTCTATGGAATCTTTTCTGGTTTAAAGTATTATTGTTTTACATTTCACATTTAAAGCTATGATCATTTTTGAGCTAATATTAGTACAGGTATGAAGTTTTTATGGAGTTTTTTTGTTTTTTTTAAATTCTCTTAGTTTCCTTGTTACCTTTGTCCGAGCTCAATTGGAAGTACTTGTGTGGGGCCATTTCTGGGTTCTCTGTTCTTTTCCATTGATTTATTTGTGTCTCACTCCACGAATACAATGTAGTTTTGATTACTTTTTACTATATTAGAAATCTTGCATGAAGATTCTGACCACTTTATTCTTTTTCAGATGCTCTAGCTATTCTAGTTCCTTTGCCTTTCTTTATAAATTTTAGAATAATCTTGTTTGTATTGTAGAAAATACCTTGATAGAAATTACATTAATCTGTCTATCAATTTGTAATCGTTTGACATCATTTCTATGTTGTATCTTCCAGTAAATGGCTGTGGTAGGTCTCTATTTGTGTAAACTTTTATAGATTTTAGCATCAAAATCCTGTTAATGTTTTTGTTAGATTAACATATGTTTGTACTTTTTCCTTTTTGAGCAATTGTACATATAATTGTATTTTTAATTTCAGTTTCCATGTGTTAACTGCTACTGCATTGAAGTAATATAGATTTTTTTAATGTCGATCTTGAATATCTAGAATTTACTAATCTTACAGGGCGCCTGGCTGGCTCAGTTAAAGAGCATGCAACTCTTGATCTCCAGGGCATGAGTTTGAGCCCCACTTTGGGTATAGAAATTACTAAAAAAGTAAATAAATGAACTTAAAAAGAATTTACTAATCTCACTTTAGAGATTTGTAGCTTCTCTGGGCTTTTTTCTTTCTTTTTTTTTTTTTTAAATGTTTGTTCATTTTTGAGACAAAGACAGAGCATGACCAGGGGAGGGGCAGAGAGAGAGGGAGACATAGAATCTGAAGCAGGCTTCAGGCTCTGAGCTGTCAGCACAGAGCCTGATGTGGGACTCGAACTCACAAACCGCCAGATCATGACCTGAGCCCAAGTCAGACGCCTAACCGACTGAGCCACCCAGGAGTCCCTCTTTGGGCTTTTCTGTGTACACCATTTCGCTAGCTTCCTAATGTGGCTGTAAAAAGTTACCCCAAACTAAGTGAATTAAAACAATAAAATTTATTCTCTTTTACTTCTCAACATAAGGTGTCTAGAATGGATCCACAGCACTGTTAGCCTTCTTGATATTCCAGGGAGGAATTTGTTTGCTTGCACTTTCCAAGTTCTGGAGACTGCTTAATTGCCTTGCCTGATAGCCCACTTCCTCTAAGGTAACATCTTAACATCTGTCCCCATCCTGCTTCTATCAGAGCAATGACTTCTCTGTCTCCAACTCCACTTATATCCTTCTTATCACACCCTCCTGATTATATCATGTCTACCAGGTAATCTAGGATCATCTTGCATCTCAGGATCCTTAACTAGGGCACAAGGACAAACTCTTTTTGCAAACTCTCTTTTGACATAGAATGTAACCCTCACGGGTTATAGGGATGAGGGCTATCCTTTTGGTGGGGGGGAGAGGCGTGGGGAGGCATTCATCTTACTGCAACTGCAATACCTTCTGTTGATGGGTACATTATTAAACCTTCCTTTCTGGTCTACATCACTTTTCTTTCCTTATTTCATTGGCTCTAACTTACAGTACGTTGACTAGCAGTGGGAACAGAGGACCCCCTTATCTCCAGTCTGTGGGAGAACTATTCACTCTTTCACCCTTAAGATTGATGTTTGCTGTACGGTAATTTTGTAGCTGTTCTTTATTGAGTTGAGGAAGTTTCCCTTGGTATGTTGAGTTCTGTATATATTTTGAATATTAACATCCTTTCAGATACATAGTTTGCAAATATTTTCTCCCATTGCATAGATTGTCTTTTCACTCTTGATGGCTTCTTCTGCTGTGCAGAAAGAAGTTTGTCCCTTGTAGTTTGATGTGGTCACGCTTGCCCATTTTAGCTTTGTTCCCTCCTGCCTCCCCATGCTGTTGGGGTCAAACTAAAAAATCATTCCATAGGCCAATGTCAAGAAACTTTCCCCTGTTTTCTTCTAGGTTTCAGGTTTTACACTTAAGTTGTTGACACATTTTTTAGTTGATTTTTAAGTGTGATGTGAGATAAAAGTCCACTTTCAACTTCTGCATAGGGATGGACACCCAATTTTCCCGGCACCGTTTGTTGAAGAGACTATTCGTTGCCCCATTGTGGGTTGTTGGCATCCTTGTTTGCACATCAGTTGACCGTAAATACATTAAGATATTTTTCTTCCCTCTGAAACATCCTCTTAGGGAATTTGGCTCTCTCACCCCTCCCCTTTGCCTCATCACGTTCTTCCTCAGAACTGCTATGAGGAGAATGGGTTTGGGCATTGGGGGGCCCTCCTGCAACAGATGCAGATAAAAGGGTGCAAAGGACGTACAGGTTGGTAAGTGGGTTTGTGGAGTTTTTGTGGCTGGAGCCTGTGTTTCAAGAGTTCCTTGTAGCACCAAGTCTTCCACTCCTAAAGGGCCCATTGGTTGCTCCACATAAAAATTAAAATTCATGGGGCACCTGAGTGGCTCACTTGTTTAAGCGACCAACTCTTGGTTTTGGCTCAGGTCATGATTTTGCAGTTTGTGGGTTCGAGCCCCACGTCGGGCTCTGCAGCTGGCAGCACGGAGTCTGCTTGGGATTCTCTGTCCCTCTCTCTCTGCCTCTCTACCCCTTACAGTCTCTATTTCTCTCAAATAAATAAGTAGATAAACAAAACATTAAAATTCATGAAGACAAATGAACAAACCATCAGAAAATCCCTTGGTACCATTTCTGTCTATTCCTCTCTTCATGTTTGTTCATTTGTTCATTATTTTTTTTAAGTAATCTCCGTGCCCAACATGGGGCTTGAACTCACCACCCTGAGTTCAAGTTGCATGCTCTACCACAGCCAACCAGGTGCCTCTCTTCATGTATATTTAGCAACCAACACACATAAGATCATTTTAATTATCAACAATAAGGTGAGCTGTTTCACACAGCACTTCTGAGACCAAACGTGTGAGGTTTTCCCTACACCAACCAATTCTCCAGCTCTCTGGACACCAACTGGGTGTCTTACAATTAATTCAGTTCTGAAGCCAACTGGGAATTTCCACAGACCACAGAGATTAACGACTCAGTCTCACAACACTGCCCCCACTTCAGATGCCAATCACAAGTCCTGGGCCTCTTGTACTTCTGACCAACTGGCTATAAATGGCTACAAATTCCAGTACATTCTTTTTTTTTTTTTTTTTTTAAGTAGGCTTCATGCCCAACAGTGAGCCCAGTGCAGGTCTTGAACTCATGACCCTGAGATCAAGACATGAGCTGAGATCAAGAGTCACTCAACTGACTGAGCCATCCGGGTGCCCGAAATTACAGTATAATCTTGAGTAGAAGTGGTGATATACAGGGTTCAGTTCTCAATTCTTTACTCCTGATCATAACAGAAACGCTTCTGACATTTGGCTGTCAAAGTTCTGTATTCATTGTAGATGGATACTATAGATCAGATTAACTTTCCTCCTCATGTTATGTACTGAACACACATTTATAGTTTAAATATAATAGTGTTTAAATGTTTAAAGTGCTTTTCTGAAGTTACTAGCATAATGGAGATGTAATCACATCATCGGGTGTATAGTACCACAGTATATTAAAATTCAGGCATTACTAGAGTAAAACCTTTTTAGTCATAGTGCATATTCTAATGATTCATTTTGCACCGCATTCCAGAAGTCAAACTGCTTTCTCTTTGATATCCTAAGATGAGGGATATACTAGCAATACTACATTTTTTTTTTTATATGTTTTCTTCTGTTCTGAAAAAATTTTGTCTGTAAGTGGGGAGAACTGTGAATAAATACCTTGAAAAAGTGGGAAAGTTTCCTGGAAGGTGATCAGAGTCCTGTTGAATATTTCAAAGTTTTCAAGTTATGGATGCTTTTTTGATTTCTAATTCTTAATTCCATTTTAATGATCTATCTGCATGGAAACTATTCTCAGTTCTCAAATTAGTAAAGATAAAGTTGTTCACAGTAATTCCTACAGGTTTTGAAAATCTCTTATCAATAGTCTCACTGTAATTAGTATTCATAAGTACTAATACTAATAAATATAGTTTAATTAGTATTGTTCATGTGCCTATCTTTAGTCAATATTTTAAAAGATTTACCTGCTGTATCAATTTTGATAAGACATTAGTTTTATTCTACTTTTCATTATATTCCATATAAATCTCATTTCTGCCCTTTTTTG